TCTCTCTCTCTCTCTCTCTCTCTCTCTCTCTCTCTCTCTCTCTCTCTCTCTCTCTCTCTCCCTTTCACCCTCTCAGCCTATCTCTCTTTCTCCTTCTCCCCTTTCTCTTTCTCTCTGTCTCTCTCCGTTTCTCTCAAGGAAAAAGGATGAGGATGTACAAGGAATGCAAACGCGCGGAAGCGCTCGCTGCTTTGATTCGCTGACAAGTTTCGCCGCATTAATTAGCGTGGCCTTCGCCCCTGCCCGCGTTAACGAACACGGGGACTCTGAACTCGCGGCGACACGCGAATATAAATAAAGTGGGACAAGAGTGAAACACACACGCGGTATCCCGGCGGCAAGTGTAGCTGTCACGGGGATATGGTTTCCCTCGCTTTGCTTTGCGCACCGTGCGGATATAGTATAGAAATATTACTTGAAATCCGATCCAAATCGCGGTTGATCGTCGATGTCTATAAACGAACATATTAATGGACACGTTTTCCGTTCGTCGGAGATTAAGGGAAATCCCGGTTATATATATACGCGATTTCAATTCAACTATAACACCGGCCATAGTCGCACTGTGACGTGCCGCTACGTGCGTTTGCAAGTGTCACACAACGTATAACGCAGCACGAAGTTACGTTTATTTCCGTTTATTTACGTTAGTATCCGTTAACTTTTGCGTATTTGTATTTGGATGTGCATTTTTCATAGGATAAAATGCACATCGTCGAAAATAAAAAATCAAAACATTCAATACGACTTCGAGAGAGAGTGAGAGAGAGAAAGAGAGAGGCGTCATAAAAAACTGCATCTTCTATTAAAAATATGAGCAGAACACTTGTAAATAATCAGATACTTCACAAGACTTTTACTTTTATCAGTTTCTGCTTTTGAGGTGTTATAACTGATTAAAAATAAAAGCTTTGTCTATAAACTGCTAATCTCTTTAATGGTGATTTAAAATGACTTCATAATTCTTCTCCTCCCCACAAGATAGATTTTTTTTTAACAAGCATATCAAGATTTCTTTTCTCTTTATTGTTATTTTCTTGGAAGAATTTTGAGAAATAAAGAATTTTTAATCTCTCCTAATTTAATTATCTTTTATATTTGCTAAGAATTTAACAGAATATATTAGTTAAGTAAATTAGGAAGAATCTAATATTTTACCACGAAACTTTTTCCGAGTATACCTCTTGTAGGATTAAACGTGTTTAATTTTGAAATACTTGACTTACTTATAAATATTCCTAATAAAATCGCTAAAAGAAATTAAAGCAATCCTTTCATCTCGCGCGTTGGCAGTGACGAGCTAGATAAAATATTTTCACGAACGTGAACGTCGCGGTGTGCGCACGGCATTTCGGTTATATAACATTATCGAAAATCAGCGCGAGGGTAGCTCACGCGAGAGCGATTTTGCGGGTCGATACGCCAGACGTTTCTCTCCATCTGGCATGGACAATGATTTCGCAACGTGCCGCGTAAGCACCGAGCACGACACAATGCCGGCTGGACCGATCAGAATAGCCAGCAGATTCCGCTTAATCGGCCTGGTGGCTGATTAAAAAATGCGCGGGTCGAAACGTGCGCGTCCTCGTTTGTGTCCCGTTTGATCTCGACAGGCGTAGCGGAAGTAGCCAAATCGGCCGTACTCGCGCGTGTTTCGTCCATAATACCGGCCGCGCTCGTAATACGGGGTCCCGGAGCCTATTTTCCATTCTCTCTCTCTGCCTCTCCCTCCCTCCCTGTCTCCCTCCTCCTTCTCCTTCTCCTCCTCTCTCTCTCTCTCTCTCTCTCTCTCTCTCTCTCTCTCTCTCTCTCATGG